GGGGCAGAGGTGATGGGGTGGCGGGGGTGAAAGATGTCAGGCCGTGGGGGGAGGTGATGGGAGGCTGGTGGGGATGGCAATGATGCGGCAAGGGTGACAGGGTGGCAGGCTGACAGGGATGTGGGGCTGGTAGGTGTGGGGCCCGTGGGACACAGGGACCTGCTCTGCTCTCCACCCCAGTGCAGGGGCCACGGGCAGGCCTGGGGTCCCCGGCTGAGCCCACCCCCCCACTTCTGTGCCCCCCAGTTCATCCTGGTGTTCACGGTGATCCAGTACCGGCCCATCGCCTACAACACCTACGTCTATCCCCCCTGGGCCATCAGCATCGGGTTCCTCATGGCGCTGTCCTCCGTGCTCTGCATCCCGCTCTACGCCGTCTACAAGCTCTGCCGCGCCGAAGGGGACACGCTGCTCCAGGTGTGTGTGTGTGTGTGGGGGGTGCTCCCCTGCCCCCAGCCCCCCCAACCCTCCCCTGTGCCCCAGCATCACCACGTGCCTGAGACAGGCTATCCCCTTGTGCTGCTCTGGCCCGTGGTCCAGAGAGCCAGGCCCTGCTGCTACTGTGGGGCGGGCTCCAGGGCCCTGGCCAGCAAAGCCTGCCCCTCCCCAGACATCTGCTCCCCTGGGCAGGAGTCTGACAGGCCAAGCACTGCGAGTTGGGGCTGGAAGCCAGGACTCCTGGGTTCTCTCCCTGGCTCTGGGAGGGGGGTGGGGTCTGATGGGTTAGAGCAGGGGGGTTGGGAGCCAGGACTCCTGGGTTCTCTCCCTGGCTCTGGGAGGGGAGTGGGGTCTGATGGGTTAGAGCAGGAGGCTGGGAGCCAGGACTCCTGGGTTCTCTCCCTGGCTCTGGGAGGGGGGTGGGGTCTGATGGGTTAGAGCAGGGGGCTGGGAGCCAGGACTCCTGGGTTCTGTCGAGGAGGCAGTGGGGTCTAGTGGGTTGGCTTGGACTCCTGCCCTGGAGGTGGCTGGGGGTCCCTGCTGGCCCCTCGGGCCTGGCTGAATGTCTGGCTGCCCCCTGGCTTGGGGGTCACGGAGGGGTCTGAGGTGGAGGCGGGCGCTCGAGGCCCCTCGCGTCCTGTCTCTGGGTGGGGGGCCTACGGGCACAGGGCCGGTGCCCACGTGGCCGAGCTAACGCCCCTTCTCCCTCTCTCTAGCGTTTGAAAAACGCCACCAAGCCGAGCCAGGACTGGGGCCCGGCGCTGGCTGAGCACCGGGCCGGGCGCTACGCCCCCGCCCCCGCGGCCCGCCTGGAGGTGCAGCCGCTGAACCCCGAGAAGCCGCGGAGTGAGGACGTGGCCCTCCCCGTGCAGGGCAGCAACGGCTCCGCCCACAGCCAGGACTCCAGACTGTGACCCGGCCCCAGCCCCTGCGCCCCCGACCCGCCCTGCTCGGTGACGCACTGCAGTGCCCCCGGCTGGGGGAGCCCAGGCTGCACCGGGCACCGCTGGGGGCTCCCCGTGTGTGTGTCCTCTCCTCCTCCCCTCCCCACGGTGTGTGTTCCCCCTCGTGTTTACAGTAAGGGCCCCGCAGCCGGGCCCAGCGCACCGCCGACAGGAGGGGAGCGGCTGCCCAGCCCGCCCGCGGGGGGCCCGCTCGGCCGGGGCCGAAGGCGCCGTGGAGGGCGTGTGGACCTCGGGGGAGCAGCTCGGCCCCTGCCCAGCCTGTGACTGGGGTACAGGGAAGCCAGGGCCCAAG